TGAACTGAATAGGCATGACAGGTTCCAAATTTTGGCTCTGGGCAAGACGTGGTACAGAATAAATAGTTTGCAAGTCCCCTTGTATGCCAGACACTTTTTTGAACAAGAAGATAAACAGGACACTACAGTGCCACCAGTTTGTCTGGATGAAGACTTCCCACTCCAAACGTGGGCTGTGGGGGAAGCCAGCACCTCTTTCCAGCTGCAGAGACCATTTCCCATTGTGTCTTGAGTGTTGGCTGCTCCTCAACAAACAACGGACCCTCCCTCTGCCTGGGAGGTCCGCAGGCAGGTACACCCAGGATGATATGCCACGACTCAGGGCAAAGCGGTGACACCACCAAGCTACGCAATCGCTCCCCATATGTCATTCTGCTTACCCTGACTTCTTGATGCTACACCAGATGCCAATGGGCCAGAGATGGCACCCGGGGCTCAGCGCAGTATGGGGTCATCATATGCATGGCCCTTTTCCTTCTGCCGCCCTCCTACACCAGCACTGGGAGACTGGAAAGTAGCAGAGAAATCCCTGTGCTGGCTGGCAGGAGGTGGCCATTGTGTGACTCCGGGCAGGCAGCGAGAAGGGGGCATCACCTTGGACAGCCTGGAGGAGAAGGTAAAGGGAAAAGCAATGAATTGCAGAATTTAAGCAAAAGCAAGCTTCTCGCTGCTAAGCTTTCCCTATCCCCAGAGCCCCCTTAGCATAAAACAGCCGGCAAAAGCCACGGCAACATCTAGCAATTTTCATGTGGGCTAAATTCTCTCCTGACAAAGCACCGGTCTGTGTCCAGTCCCTCAGGTTTTACAAATTATAGATGGTACAAACTAAACAACTTTGTCACTCGCAATTTCACAAGCAGTTTTGCCTCCGTTATTTTTCCCTGAGAATTTCTATTGTCTTTTGTAACATTGTCCACTTGTGTCCTGTATATGGATAGAGACAGAAATAAAAAGCAAATATTTGGCACCTCTTCTTCTGTTCACAACTGGTCTGTAGCAGGGACTTCACATCCTTCTCCAGGAGAAGATGTGCTGGGTGCGGGGCTGAAAGGAAGCAGCAGAGCACCAGAGCCACAGTGAAACACTAAAACCCTTGTCGGAGAGGAATTATTATTTATACTGCTGGACAGTTTTCTTCTGTGAAACAACTGGAAATGATTTACCCCACAAATGTCTGGCTGTTGGCTGGGTAAGTAGCCAGCAAACACAAGAGGAATCAGACCATGCCAGACTCAGCTAGCTGTACGCGATACATTGCTGATCCATCTGCAGCACATGATATTCGCTGGTTTCTCTGCTCCAGACTGGTTGGGAGAGAGGTACTTGAAGGAATGGGAAGCTGTGTCTCTACAGCTGAGTGGCTTTCTAGCTCCGCATTGACATGGTGTGCCTTCTGGCTGCTCAAACGGTCCTAAACCAGAGCCCCACTGCATTATACCACTGTAATTTAATGCCCTCATTTATGGGGTTAGAAGCAGTGTAGAAAATTCAGCTCTTGCCTACTTCTGTGTACAAAAATCCAAAATTAAAAGTGTCTTCGACAACCTAGTGAGCAGTGTCTGGGTGCAAGTAAGGACCCTCCAGCATCATGTCCTGAATCTGGACCATCCTCCCTCCCTCATGGGGGTTTGTGGGGGGACAGGGGAGCCCCATTGCAGGAATACACATCAAAGTGTGGGTGCAGAGGAGAGTACCCTGAGAGCTGGTTCTGCCTCAATGTGTGTTTTGTTTTGAAGAAAAATTTCTTTCTTCGCTTAGAGCCCTGGAGAGCATTCATTGTATAACCTGAAACTCAACCTGGGAGGTACTGCACCACTTATCGATGGTCTAAGAGCAAAGTAGATCATTCAGGTAAGACAGATCTCAGTGGAAATGAACTGTCCTAGCATAAAGCTACCGTAACTCAGGGGGCTATCTATAGTTTAGGCTTAAGCATACTCCACGCTGGTTATGTGCTGCTCAAACTTGAAAGGTGTCAGGATTAGAGCTCTGCTGTACATCCACATCAGAAAGTGAAGATCATTAGAGTAACACTCTCCTATACAACAGTGATGCAGGTCAAGGTGATCAAGGTTTCTACCCATTCTCTGAAAACCATTTAGGTCAAAGTTGTTCTATATACTTTATCAGCTTTGATTCCCTTCCCCTCTTATATGTTCTATAGGTGGGGGTTTCTAGGTTTTCCAGGTTTTTTTCACTCCTGGCACAAGTAATTTTCCATTCTGCTCTTGAGCTTCCCCCGACTTAAACGGTACTAATGATCCTTATCTGCAGTGAGATCTACAGAAGAAAGGACTTTTGTAGAGCAAGGAAGTATAGCCGTGTCATTTTACGCCAGGTGCAGCAGGGACCACCTTGGCAGCATCTCCCCATACAAACAGCACTGTCACTCTTTGTAGCCATCAGGATAGTCCTGTTGGCCAACACAGGGCCTGGCCACAGAGCTCTCGCTTGGGAAAACTGTCCTCTGACTTCAGCAGGACTGCTGATGTGTTAAGAAAACACAAGATTGGTGTTGCTGGCTGTCAGGGGCGCTCTGGGTCTCATCTCCAATGACTTGCCATCAGGCGCTAAGGTTTGAAATGCAACCTGGAGAAATCTCAGCAGCAAAAAGTTGATCTATGACTGTGTCTCGTGTCTATATTGTACCATTTGAAATCCTTTGATATTTTCGGAGTCACTCATGACTCAGGCTGGTGAGGGTAGAGCCAGGCCCACAATTCAATTCCACTACCTTACCTCTCCCTATTGGTGCTGTGCTCATTACACAGAGCGAAATCAATTAATTCTAACAGAGGAATAGGTTCCTGGCCTGCCTATAAGTCACCGGGTACATAATTGTTCTGTTGCTTACATTAACATCTTAGCACATTATTAGCACTGTTTGCGATTCCTGGGCTCGGGTGGATGCTCCGCTCCCTGCATGGGAGGCTCTGCTGGAACATCCCTTCTTGCAACCTGCCGTTGCACCAGTGCTACATGCAATTAAAGGCCTCCCGTGGCTGAAGCCTTCCGATGGACAGAGGGACCTAAAACCATGGCTTTCTCTTGATTAGGCAGCTTTAAGCCAAATAGGATTAAGGAGAGAGATACCACCACGGAGGGGAACAAAATATGGGCATCTCACTAAAGCAATAGGGAAGGGAGGTAGGACAACAATTTGCTGAGCAATTCACGCATTGTTTTTAAAAAGAACTGGAAAAAAAATTTAGAAGAAATACATCTTTTTAAATTGTATTTGAAGTATTCAAAGCACACATTTTTAAATTTCAAGTTTGAAAAACATATAATCCCTGTTACCCAAATCTTTGAGGCACTGGAAATCAAAGAAAAGTTAGTTATGGCTTGTGAGCTTTTTGTCTGTAGAAACAAAGAATTAATGGCCAACAAACAAGCAGCTCAGAATTCCCCCTCTTTAACAAAGGAAAGTCTTTTCTTATGACTATTCTTGCTGGATTAGGAAACTGAAAAAAAAAAAAATCAAACAGGCAACAAATAATTTTACCATTACCAGGTAATATGTGTTAATTGCTCAGTTTATATACTCTGAATGACATACCATTAGAGACTGTGCATGCATTGTAACTAGAGCATTAATAAATTTAAAATGTGCCTATTAGGATGACAGCTTTGGAGGTGCAAAGGAATAACAGTTATCACTTGGCAGAAGCAGATCTCACCCCATCTGCCGAGACTTTGCATACATTTTCAGCTTCCTGAGCAATGATTAGGGCTGTCAGAACCTCTTTAACCTTCTAACTGCTGGTCCCAACTGGCCTTAATTAGAGACTAATGAATTCAGAAGATGCAGGCCGTGAGGAAAACTGCCTTGACAGTTTGTGTACAAATTAAGCACCAATTACTTCATGCATCTTTTGCATTGCTGATACAAGTCTCTGTTATTATTTTTGAATATGGTCATTTTAGCATAAACGGAGAACTTTGCTAATGTATTTTGTCATTTTTATGGCTCATCATAAAAAAAAAAAAAGAATACCAGGAGGGTCATGAATATGTGAAATAAACTACTGTAGATGATAAAAAGAAATTCATTTCCCTCTAGGGAATATCTTCTAACATTTTCCCCCCTAATATCATATTATTATTATGATTAGTCACATAATGATCACAATTTAAGAAACAGACGTAACATGGTACTCTGAATATTTTTATTAGGAATATAGCTGCTGTTATTAGTAGAAGGAGGAAAACAAAGATACAGGTAAGAGTCTTGCAGTTCTGGAATCTCAGAAAAACTTTTACATCCACCCATGTTAGTAGAATGTTACTGACACCCTTACAGTTAGAAACAGAAGCACAGGGAGATGTAGCTATAGAATCAAGTAGTTTTGGGGGTTTAAATCTCCCCAGTTTCTCCCTCTTATCCACATCCAGAAGATGTGAGAGGTTCAACATAGTATTTTTTGGAAAATGTCCCCGAAGCCCAGCGAAGTTGCACACCTGCTGTTACGGTCTGACAAGACCGGGGAACGTTCACCGCAACGTCCCATAAAATTTCCTTGGTGAAAGTTTGAAAAACTTCTACCCCTGCTGCTCCTGCCAGACCCAGTGGGAGAGTGTGACTTTACTGAAAAGACTACAGACCAGTGCAGCTCATAAACTGCAGAGCATGCCTGACATACATGACCCTCCAACCAGACACACAGCCATTCCTTCACTGGCCAGTTACCTCTTTCAATTTGGATTGCTACATCTTTTCATTTCTCCTAATTACCATCATGTTCCCCGTTGCATTTAGTGAAATTTATCACTGCTGTGCAAATCAAGGGTACTTAAACCCCACCACAGAAACCCTTCTGGCTCTGTTGCTGCAGAAATTGAGGTCATATCAGCCTTCTCTCTGAGCATCTCCTGCACTTGCTCTCCCTGTTGCTAGGAAGGAGGGACACCCCCCCCACCCCCTCCAGAGGCTCTGTGGGAGGAAAGCCAAAGAGAAGCAGAGGGATGGATGAATTAACAATATAGAGTGAAATTTTGCCACTCACATACCAGGTTAGACTGTAAGATGTGTGCTTTGTAATCTGCGGATGTACAGAGCTGAAGAAGAGCTCCAGTACTACAAACTTCTTCAAAAGTAGAGATGCTCTGTGTGAAGAAAAGAAAGAAATTTCTATCACATCAGTAAGATCTCTCTCAAGAGGAGACAGAGAGCATTAGAGCAAACTTGAAAACATGAGGCCAGACTCTTGGTGGCAAGTCACAGAGCCAGCATCTGCAGGTCTTGAATTTCAGTTAAATAAAGCCCCAATTAATATGTCTCATGAAGTTTTGTCTTTGTCTGCACAAAACCATGGATGCCCCTCTCAGTCCAATCTCTATACCATGCAAAAGCTTCCTCTACACAACTCTGTCTTGCATTTCATCAAAAGTAATTTTAAACTTCTCTAATGAGGATGACCTAACGATCTCATGTGACACTTCCCTAATTGTCCCTATCATTAAGCACTGGGATTTTCTGTTGATAACCCAACAGTTTCCTGCATTTATATTTGCATTTACACCAGTACAACACGATTGCAACACATAAAACCAACATGTTTTTAAATACATGAGAGTTCTTTCTTTTCCCTTTTATGAGCTGCCATTGAATTAAAAGTTCTTCGTAAAGTTTTTTGTATCTGTTCTCATCAGTCGGCCTTCAGTCTGGCCTCTGCCCCAGAGAACAGCTCCATGCTCCAGCTTTGGAGTTTGCAAGGCTGTTACTCCTTAGACCAAGACATGCTGTGGGAATGAGGTTTTTAATTGAAAATTGCATCAGAGATTATGAGCTGACCCCTACACATTTTTTAAGATAAGTCTAAGGTTGTGGCTTGGGTTTGCCCTAACCTGATCAAGATTTTCATAAACGGGTTTGTTAACGTTAATAGACTTTGGTTAAGCCTCATTCCATTTCCATTGCTGTGGCCCATTTTTTTTTGTCCGCTCTTATCACCCTTCCCTGGTGTTTAATAACAGTGTCTTCTCCTTCAGTAACACTTACACATGGAATGAATGCAGATTTGACACTGTCATCTGGGTTATCGTTATACTGTGTATGGCTCCTTTCTCTTTATTGCAGCTCTAAAAGCTCACAATAGAGAGGGGACTCAGAAGAAAAGAGTTAAGGTGGCATGTCCCTTTTTTGTTGGGTTTGGTGCATGGCCTTGTCACACAATAATTTTCTGGTCATCTTTGACTTGTCCTCCTCCCTCCAGAAATTGCCTTGTGAGCACATTACTTCCCACCTGGTCTTGTCCTTCCCACTGGTACCATGCTGCTGCACCTCTCTGGGGTGATGGCACAAAGCACACACCAGCCCAAAAGCAAGACCTTTCCCTGGCATTTTGGAAAGGTGTTCGAGGTCCTGACTTTTCTTTACTTGTTTTTACTAGTAAAGCTATTGGCTTTTTCAGGTGGAGATACGGATCTCAGTTATTTTTTCAGGCTTTATTCCACCTGGTGGGTCCATTCAGTTAATCTACTCCACCAGAACATCTGAAAAAAAAATAATAATAAAAGGGTAGGGAAAGAAGGATTAAATAAACAGCAAATTCAGAATCATGGAATAGTTAGCGTCCTCTCATAGAAGACATTTATATTTAACTATTGTACATGGAACCAAAGCATCCCCTGCAAAAACAAGCACTCTACGTATAAAAATTTAAAACCACATTGATAACCCATCTGGCATCCTCCTAATTATGAATCCTTAGTGGAGTAATATTCCCTTTAGAAGCAAAACAGTAAATACAACAAGGGAAACATGATTATGAATTTCTTTTTGCTCTGTCTTTCAAGACAAGCGTTCACTCACATGTGCACCCAAAATCTTTCACAACTAGAATTTATTGAAGTGAAGACATAACACAATGCCTGCTAATTAAACATTTAAGAAGAAAAAAATACCCTGTTCTCATTCAGGAGATGATATTAATAGGTGCTTCATAATACGGAGTGTGTTTGAACCCCAGCTGTCTTGCCCCGTAAATACAGAGAAATAGAAAGGCTCAGCTTCTCCCTTCATCTTTATGTGCCAGTCTAACCAGTCCAGGCTTCATAATATCCAGTCATCTCGTGGAAACAAAGCACAAGGCTTGATTATCTGGAGACAACTTCTTTTCCTTTCATGGGAATGCTATTTCTGAGGAGGTGCTACCCATACACGACTTCTCTCGACAGGCACCAGCTCCCTTCCCTGTCTGAAAGGCAGCAGAAAATGCAGGCAGTGACTTTGGAGGGAGCTCTGTCCCAGGCCATCTAACTGAGGGTAGACTTTTTTAAAATCGTGCACTATGGACAATGGTGGCTTGAACAGTTGTTTCCTGGAACTTTACAAAGAGTCAGACCATTTTATTCATTTTAACAGGAGCTCTGGAAGAAACCCCTGGAAGGGGGATATCTCTTTTAGGAAGTCCATTAAGTTTGAGACTGCTTTTGAAACACGAGTACTTGTAAGTAATTCCTTACTCATTAGCCATTTGCTTCTGGATCTTCCTGCCTAATAAACAAAGTCTTCCCATGGCTTTTCTAGAGCTTCTCCCCAGCTGAAATCTCTCCTGTAGCAGCAGGTACCGGTAACCTACAGCACCATGCCAGGCTGTGGCTTAGCAGTAGCTCAGCACCTCCCTGCTTTACAAACCCAGAGATCTCCTCCACCCCCAATCTGCACATGTGGAGATCTCCAAACCTGATAGCTCAACAGACTGAGATGCTCAATATCGATTACCAGCTTTAAGAAATCTTTTCAGTTCAGTCATAGGCTTATCTGCTTTGGTTGTCACATGGTCGGGGATGATGCCATCAATACAGATTACAAATCTGTCTCAGCACCCTATAAATCTGCCAGTTTCCCTGTTTCAATCTTCCTAAACTAACGCAGTGGGTCCTGCTGGGCAGTGACAGAGGCTGTGTGTGTGTGTCATGTCTCACCTTGTTGGCTGTACAAAGGATGGGAAATGAAAAATCCAAGAGAGGCTTAACAATGCTCTTGCTCCGACATCTGCTCCCAGCAAGGGCATCTAGGGACCTGCCGCACAGGTTTTTTTTTCCTTAAAGATGATCACCGTGAATGTTGCAACAAATAATAATGTAAAACATTTTGACAGCCAAGTAAGCCATGAAACATTAAATCTCCAAGGCCCATATGCTCCCCTCTGCTAACACAAGTGGAGAGGAGCAAAAACCCTGTGGAAGCTGGCAGGGAGAAGCGGTCGAGCCACATCACAAGTGTCCCACTCCCCTCTATCGTATCTACAATCTTTCTGCTCCGGGGGCGGTGAGGACAGGGAAGAGCGGAAGGGGCAGAGGGGTACCTTGCTGCTCTCTCAGCACTGTTGTCCTTCCGACTTGGAGGGGTTTTCTCATGTTTGCAGCTTTGATATCCAGCAGCCCACTTTAGCCACTGGGAGCCCAAGGAAGCCAGGCTCCAGAGAGAGTGGCATGGCCAGAGGAGAAGGGGACACAAATCCTGTGGGCCAAGCATAAGATTTTTATGAGTGCGTTTTGGTCTGTGGGATTTTCCTGCTGCTCTTATGACCTCAGCTGGCTTTCCTGCAAGCCAGCTATCAGTGAGGAGCTTTGTCACCCAAAATTGTCATGTCAAAAAAGTTCCATGTGTTTCTTGGCTCTTCTTAAGAGCTCCTGTTCCTTCCCCATCCCCACAACCCCACTGGGTTGCAGAACCTCCTCTTTGCTGACAAGAGTAGCCCCAAACCAGGGATCAGTATGGCAATGACTTTGGTTCCAATTGACTACCAAAGATCTCACCCCTGGCCTGCTCAGATGGGAGGCAAGCATCATAAGAAAATAGAGCAAAGGCTTGCCAAAACCTCAGTGGTGCACCAAGCTAGCATGGGCATGGCACCAAGATTCAGGAGAGCAATGTATTTAACATCTTACCCCAGTCCAAAAGACCCCATACCCATTTGTTAACTAGCTGACAAGGATGAACAAGTTTTTGTGACCACAGCAAGGATCCTTAACTCCTTTATCACCACATGTCCACAGACTTGACCAAGAAATTCAGCAGAGGGGATGTCCCTTAGCCCAAGCAGTAACTTTCTTTCATTACAGTTTCTAAACCTATATCCAAGTGAACATCATGGCAATGGTATTAATGAGGGTCCTGGACATATATTATTTCAGAATTAGATATTGATGGCTCAGGTGGCATCACTGAAGTCTTGGTGAAGTGGCAGTGTGCAAATTTGTAAGTCTGGCAGTGGTAAATCAGTGCCCTTTGGATTTGGAGGTCTCTTGTCACTGGAGAAGCAGCAGTGGCTGGCATGCGTGCAGACACAGAAAGTCTTTCTGGGGCTTCCAAAGGGGAGGCAGAGGCACCTGGGGCTTCATGTGCCTAATATTTGGCAATAGGTGAACATGCTCACACATCAGATGTTAAATATTCAGTGTATCTCAGTTTTAATGAATCGTTATGACAAGAAATCAAAGGTCCCGTGGGGAAGAGCTGCACTGGAACATCAGATAAAAGAAAACTTGGTGTGAGGTTTTTTTAAGATAAAATGAATAGAATTATCTTCATTAATTCAATAACCACAGAAATATTTACAATGTAATTACATCCATTCTTTTTCTGCTCAAATATTATTTTTAAGGGCTTCTTGGCACCGAAGAGCCTCTTTCTTTGAAAATCCTGACCCAGTGTCAGGAAGAGAACAGACCTAAGTCTCTTAATCTAATGGCTGTTAGCGGGGGTGACTACTTTAGCAATGCTCGGCTGAAAAATGAACTTTGTAATAAATGACCTTCAGAGAAGAAGACTATTCATGTTAATTAGTAGCTCTTTTCAAGCAGGATTCATATATGCATTAGGCTATGTCATTTCAAACAATGCCATCATTGTAGTAAACATCAAGACAAGACTCAAGTACAGTTATGAAAATTTTGGAAAACTCTAGTTAGGTTTTTTCCCCCCTAAGATTATGAGTTACGATTACTGATGTGTTGCACAATAGGAGCTCTCCTAATGGCTTTTAGCTCTTGCCACTGCCAACTTTTATATTTAAAATCCATAAAATTATGGACAATTTTTGAGCATTATGAGGCTCTCTATCCTACTGACCCCATTTTTTGCACTGATTCTTACTGATTCAAAGCAGCTTTGAACCCAGCAAATCAAATGCATTTTGCTTAAAACATAACATTCATTCTTACAGAGCCCACTTTATTCTTATTACTACTTATTACTTATTATGTATATTTAATTTAAGAATGCATATTCTCCATTAAAAAATTAGAATATTTTCAAGTACTAGAAAGTGATTATTTTGGTTAGTTCCTCTTGATTAGCCACTCAAATGTGGATGCGTTCTTTCTAAAGCACGTACATAACAAGAATTGCAAACGGCAAAAGGAGGCTACCAAAAGGAAAAAAATTGAACAAAATAAATTTATGCACAAAATAAGAGACAGGATTTTTACACAATTTATGTCAAAATGCATCTTAAAAGTTAGCTACAGCATATCAAAAATTTGCTGTCTGGGGAGAGATAAACTTAGTACAACTAATCTGATTCAGAAATGTTATGAGCAGATACAGTAGGCAGAAGGTAATGTGCAAGAAAATTGCATAATTCTGATTCTACATGAATTTTGAGGTATACTTATTTACTGATTTTTTTAAGAATGTATTTAAGGAGTATCTTCCTTGCTGCTGACCATTCAAACCCAAACACAAAGTTAATTTTAAAAACTAACCTGCCAGGCACTATGCATAGTTGCTTTACTATCCAAAAAACCATACATTCTTAACTAAGTAGAGAATTAACAATAAATGTATTGTGGAATAGCATTTTAGCAATCTGTTTAATGAAGAAAGTCATCTGTGTTGCCAAACAATTAGCTAACAAAGGGGAAATTAATAAATATTTATAAGACCAATGTATATGGTTTGTCTGGAGCCTTGCAAGGTTCAAAAAAGACATGCAATTCAGTTGAGCAAACAAACTGCAAGATAGGGCTCATCCTAAATATCTGGCACATGACAGTGTTCATTGTTCACAATTTGGAGGGGCTGCCATACACTGTATCTGCTCCCTGGCCTGAGCTGGGCATCTGAGTGGTTTTCAGAGATGGGGTGATGGGCAAATCTGTCTCTCCAGTGGTTGTCATTGGCTTGGACAAGCAGGTTTCTGCTCAGCACTCTGGCTTTTTGGAGTCACCAGGCGTCAAACTTCCTTCACACATTGTGGAGGGAGTCCAGCTGCTTACCTTCATATCACAAATTCTTGTGAGCCAAAAAGCTTTCTGAGCCCTCCTCCCTGTGAGGACAGCCCTTTCTGGCCACTGCCAACTCCTTTCCCTTCTCAGATTTTGATTTTGTAACACTCAGCATGGGGACTGCCATGGTTTAGCTAGAGCTGTTGTTTTTATTTAAGCATGTGGGGCATGCAGATATTTTTTTTTGTTTTAATCTTTTGCCATTTTGAAAAGAGACAGAAAGGAAAACCTGAGGCACCCTTGATGTGATCTTCCCTGCTTGGTTTTTGTGTGTGTGTATGGCATTATTGTATCTGTTCTTTAAAGAAATGAAAAAGAAGAATGGACCAGATGTGGGATTCATTTTATTCATATTCAGTCTGTGTAGAATTCAAAGAAATGGCTCCTTTATTTGCTCTCTTCTGGGAAAACATCTTGAGTTCATTTTGTTCTGCTCATAGACTTGTAGAAATAGGTCTGGAAAGGTACTTCAAGAGCTCATCTTGTCCATCTTACTGCCTCAAGGCTGACTCACGCCCAGTGCTCTCCAACAGCATGATAAATTCAAGTATAACAATAACATTTTTTTCACAAAAACACTGCAATAGAAAGTGAAAGGTTAAGAAATAAGCTAGCAACATGTCATGACTCTGCCACAGGATTTAACACTGTTCTCCAGGCATCCATGGTTGCCATCTGCTAGAGGCAGGACATTGGCCCTGTAGCTGCTGCTATGTTCTCAGGTCACACCTAGCTGCAAATTGTGAGGGAAGCTGGCCCCTGCAGATTTACCCTGGCTTCAAATAAGGCAGCTCAGGTACCACAACAACCCCACTGCATCTGCTCACTGGCTGATCTAAGGGCACTCAGGCTTCCTCCAAGACCTGCAGCCACTACAGTGAGACTGAGAAGGTGCAATGGTATCATGTGCTCCTCATGGCATGTGTTGAAAGTTGCCCAGCCCAAGATATTTTTAAAGGGATGTTCTCCAGAGCAGAAATTCAGACCTCTATAAGCTATTCCAAGCTGGCTCCAAGAAAAGTATACATCATTGGTGGTCCTCTGACTCTAAAGGCATAAGGACCACTGAAGTATGACACAACGTTTTACAATGAGAGCAGGTTCTCCAGAGAAGGTAAAATTACTTTTGGTTCTAAATAAAATTAATATATCATAGGAAGGACACCTAACTAAGATGTTGCAGGGTCTGTACCTCCTCATGGAGGATTATCTCTTATCCAGAAAGTTCAACCAAATCTGTCTTTCCCAACCATTACATAGATGTTATTTCCAGTCCTGCTTCTGCCATCCCTTCTCCTTCCCCTCCTCCTGCCCCCTTTGTTTGCACCCTCTTACCACTCAACACCTGTCCCCATACACACTCTGCCTGACCTACAGCTTGAACTCCATGGGTTTGCAATGATCGTTGTCTTGGGAGGGGGAGGCATGAAGAAATGCCTGAACCATGACCTACCTGCTAGACCAGTGTCTCCCAGCCCCAGTTCACCCAGGCCCACAGGACAATCCTGCAGTACTGCTGCAGTTTTGCTGCTTCTTGCCTTGACCCAGAGGGAGGTGTGGGAACCACATGTCCCAGGAGCAGAGTTCCCATCCTGGCTTGGGACAGCAGTGGTGAAGGCCAGCCTGTGGCTAGGAGGGAGGGGAGGAAAACATGCAGACAACTTAATCCCTCTCACAGCACTATCTCTTGCACCCCCAGCCTGTGGGTTTCTAGTGCTGCTGGTTACAGGGAAGGAGCTACAAGGGACAGCTGCCCAGCCATGCCTCTCCTTTCCCCAGCTAACCCTTCCATGCTGGACGCTTACAAACCTTACCCTCTACTGCCCTTCTCCTCAGGGAGGTTTATCCTTTGTCTGTGTCCCAAATAAAACAACACTTCATTTCGAGCTCAGGCACTGGCAAACAATCCTCGGCAGTGTTTAACTGTTAGTACCCTCCCTGGCATGGCTGTGCTCTGGGCCAGCTAGTGTAGGTCCAAAAATAACCTGCTGGGCGGCAGCCAGGCAAGGAACGAGGAAGAAATGCTGACTCTGTAATAAAGAATGTGGGACTTGTATTCAGTCTAATCCAGTACTGGCACAGCCCAGAGCAAGGCAGCCTGGAAGCGGCAAGGGAAGCAGGGAGAAATATCAGGGTGAGGGGCATCTGGATCCCCAAGGAGCAAGGAGGGACTGGAGCCATGATGGGAATGATAACAGCCTTGACTACATGAAGGAGGTTGGTTCCTCATGGCAATTAAGAGCCTAAAAAGAGAGAACAAGAAAAGTGTAGAAGATACTAAAAGGAAGACTGTGGTCCAGTAACACAGAAAAACAGGACCCAGGCTCCCTGCAGTGATGCATCAAACATGCTCACTCTCGTTTAACTGTAGCTCTGCTTTTCTGTAGTAGGGGTTAGGTAAGTTTAGTGCATGTAATGATTTCTGCAATAAAACTCTACATGGGGTGACTGGTGTTCTGCCCTCTTTGCACTTCAAAATCTCAGGCTGAGCTGTAACCGTTGCTCACCATCATTTTGGATGTTCCCTTCTCATCCCTGTACAAGGCAGTTGGCAAGAAACCTGAAAGCTGTCCCTCAATTGCTGGCCTGGCCAGGGACCGGGCGGTGTCTCACAGTTAGGGCATGCCACTAGCTTACTTTCAGGTGTTGCTCAGGCAGAGAAAAAGGAAAGAGCTTCACTCCCAGGCACTGTTCCTGGTAGGCAGGCTGGACACAATTTAGGTGTACAAAATTTAAGTGTGGACTCAAGTCATGATATGTCACTTCAGTGTGAGAGGATGGGCTTGTTTCCAAATTAGACACAGCCTTATATGCTAGCTATGGGCCTATGTTTGTAGATCTGAACACTGCAGGCCGAATTTTGAAGGGACTTCTCTATCCTTCTTCAGAGATGACCAAAGACAGGCAGGAGCGATGTTCTTTGGATATGGTGAGGGAGGAGGGAGGCTAGAGATGACAGCCAGTGTCTGGGTATTTATCCAACAGGCTCATATACATTTTATCCGTCACCTTTTGCATTTGAATCTAGGTGTCTTTCAGCTCAAGAGAACGTCCTAGCACAGTTGGAAATCTTGACTGTGTGTTTTGTCATAGACTTTTTATGGCCAGGATTTCAGTCATGGGGAAATACTTTGGTCTGTGAGCAGTAGCATCAGAGTTATCCTCGGAAACCAGAAACAGGCAGGTAGTGCTTGATGGGATAACAAGGCGGTACCAAAGTAACTCCTGCTTGTCCCTCTCTTACAGTACAGAAACAGTGGGGACTTGCTCTGATTATCTCTGTGCATGATCTAGGCCAGACCTAGATCTTGGGAACTCAGGCAGAGAGCATCTTAAATTGGAGCCTTCCTCTCTTTACTCCAAAAAACCTAAATCAGCACCTAGTTCAAGCACATGCACATCTGTTTAACACCCTTTCCCTCTCACACTTTGCTTCTCATGCTGGTGCACTGTCCAATGTAGGTAAAGAAGGCATATTTTTAATGATTCATTTTTCTTTGCAGCATTTCAAAGTCCTGCTCAGTGCCTAAGAGACTACAGACTTTGACATTCCGTTGGATACAATACACTTTATAGTTACCGTTTTTAAACAAAACACTTTTACCTTCTATTTCTTGAAGACAGCAAGTTTATAAAAATAACTCTTAAGAGCCTCTGGCACCCTTTAGAAAACTGATTGCTTTATGATGAACTGAAGCATCACATTAGGTATGAAACAAAGTAAAAGCAGATGGTCCATACTCAGAGCGCAAACTGTTGCCTTTCAATAACATGAGTAAGGATTCAAGAATTTCTCAACTAGATTTCTCTGTTTTGTAGAAGATCTGAGTGAGCTATTTGCTATTAAAATGCCTCTTCATAAGAAATAATGTTTTCTAGCATTTATACAATACATTTAGCTTCTGCAGTTGACATGAAACAAAACTGTCTTACCAACTGCTGGCTGTTTAGCATGTAAATTAGCTGGTTTACTAGAATTGAATTTATATGCGAAACTTTATACAAAATCCTCTTGTTTCTCTAACCCACTAATAAGATCAGGAGAACACACAAAACATAGATTAAGTCTGTCTTTCAGATATAGATTCAATCTTGATGGCATAGGGTACAATAATATTCCTTATAACAGAGAAAAAAGTCATGTCAAAAACGGAGAGCACTTTTTATGGAGCCTACCAGGGCTCTTTGTGTGTTCTCAGGGTGTAATTTACCTTCAAACTTTTAAATAATTATGTGTAAATTTGTGGTTTTATTGCATCGATAATTTACATGCAAAGGTGAGCCCTTGTCTAAGATAAATTCCTGTGGAAGTTATATATCATTTCTATTACAAGCATGCTTGTGCAGTGTGCTTTCCTCATCCTTAGTAATAGAGGTATTTGTGAACTAAGGATTTCTTTAATGTTTTTATATTCAGTAAAAGAATGCACAGGGGTCAAAGCAGGATTGATTTGAAGGAGTTAGATTTTAAAATCCCTTTAAAAATCAGGACAAAGGATACCACACTATTAAAATAAAATGCTTAAAAATGAAAAGTATTATGCATGCCACACAGTAGAAGATCAGATTTTTATTAATGCAAGTTTTAAATGCTGATTAATCCTCTTGAGAATCAGTTTCCCAAAGCTTTGGCCTGCATTCAAGTCTTTTTCAAAGGGGCACATCACTTCCATTATTCTGAATATTAATTGAACAACATTATAACTAAGGATACAAAGCAAGATTTAAAACATGATTACAGCTGTCATTGCTTACATCTAAATAAGTCGTTGGAAATTGAAGCTCAGGAAAAAAAAAAAACACACCACAAAACAAAACCAAAAAAAAACGAACAACCAAAAAAAAAAAAAAAAAAACCAAAAACAACCTGCCGTAAACCTCTCTTGTCAGGATGGTGAAGCTGCTGCCTCCCGCAGCCCCCCCTCGGCTCGGCCAGGATGGATCGTCTGTGCGCCGTGTGCTGATGGCTCGGCTGGCGGCTTGCGCTTAATGTGTTCGCACAAATTCGTC